GCAACCGGAACAATCTGGAACTGAACATACTCAAAACCGTAGAAATGGTGGTAGACTTTAGAAGAAACCCTCCCATACTACCACCTCTTGCAATACTAGACAACAAAGTATCAACAGTAGAGACCTTCAAATTTCTAGGTTCTATCATATCACAAGACCTAAAATGGACACCTAACATCAAAAATGTCATCAAAAAAGCACAACTAAGAATATTCTTTCTGTGCCAACTCAGAAAGCTCAAACAGTGCAAGGAGCTGCTGATTCAATTCTACAGAGGAATTATTGAGTCTGTCATCTGCACCTCTATAACTGTCTGGTTTGGTTCTACAACCCAGCAAGACAGACACAGACTTCAGAGAATACTAAATCTATAGTCAGAATGAAAAAAAAAACCCTCTCTCTCTGTGTGTATTTTCATTGTACAAATTTTATCTTGTGCTCTAGAATGAAGATAAATTAAGGAAGACTTTGAAACAAGAAAGAATATGAACAATGAATTGTTATGCAGCAATTATATAAAACAACTTTAGTGAAGAGTCACAATGATAAAATGTAGCAGACAAGAATTCAATAGCTTTAAGTTCTACTCTTTATTCAAGACCACATAAATAAAAATAATTAAAACTTTTTAACAAGTGATAGTTAAAAGTTACATCACTCATCTTGTAATTACTCATTACTCATTAAATGAATTATGAACTATTGTAATTGGCATATTAATAATATATTGAGCCTGGATATACCAACTACAGTAGATCATAGTTCATTTAATCATAAAATACTGAATAAATCATGAATGAGTCCATATACAGTACTTACAGTCTATGCTTTATGAACCACCACCATAATATCTTGACATAAAACATTAAGCCAAAATCAATCAGTTTTGAAATAAAACAGAACATGCATTACTATAATAATGGCTTCAGAATCATTTTTAATTTATTACCATCTTTTTCTTAGCTATTTTTTTCTCAACATCCACTTTTCTTATCTCTTAAGGAACTATTTTCAGGAATATTTTATTGAAATACATATAAATGACTAAAAATACTGTACAAAGCTAACAATAAGAGGTTAACTGGCAGCTTACAAAGCTATATTCCCATTCACTCAAGGTGCCTAGTAAAGGTCTTTTCCTGAATGCTTTCCTTTTCTTACCATATAATCTTTATAGAAGTCCAGGCTTTTGTGAGTTAGTTAAACTGAAAATGTACCAAGTATTCCAATAATTTTAAAGGCCATTCATTCACTAGGATATCCAACTCAAATATAAAATTCTATCACAGTATAATAACATTCTAAGAGATCTTGATGAACTGAAATATTCCATCATAAATTATACAATGATGACCACAACTCTATCAAAAATAACTTCTTAAACAGAGTAAAATGTCTTTTTTAGTAAAAATAGTAAAAGTATGACAGTTTAAAGATCAATTCAATAGCTATGAAAAATATATTTTTAAGGTACTAGATAAAAAGAAAAGAAAATTCACCCAAAATAGCTACCTGGTATATCGGAATGGTCAATTAAAAGTGATACACCAAATGGCCTAATACTATAACTATGGCTTACTAACTGTCTGCTTTAATTCATCTATGATTACTCCAGGGCAATCATTCCAAAAGGAAAAACAAGGTGGTGAAAACCAACATCAGACTTGCCCTTACACAAAAACAATTCTCAACTAGTATATACTTGGTATGTTTTTTTTAAACCTAGACTTTAAAAAAACTATACTACCAGACCACTTCAGTGGTACACCTAATAATGTTAGCGTAATTTAAACCAGTCTTTTTAAATCTAGTGCCCTGTCGATTTATTAGGCTTCTTTTTCCCAGCATTCCACACGTACCTTGGAAATGCTAGTTATAAATGCCCAACTCTCCCAGAAACTCCAAGGTTTAGGAAACTGAGATATAAGCCATGTAGCCCTTTTTATGACTTCCTCCTTCCTGAGACTGTTTCTAGTGGCTGTGCAGTACACAATAATACATGTGTTTCTCCAAAATATCCTATTCCAGATAATAGAACATTTAATGGAACTAAATCAAAAGAGAGTTAAAAGACATTTACTATTAAAAATTTGGCAAAACAGCTGATAACAAATCACTAATGAATCTGCAGATTCATGTTTGGATACAAGGAGGTCATTTAACACCCTTAATAAAAGAGTTTCTTGTTTTCAGCAGCAATATTTATGGCATAAATTAGAGACATCTGCAATAGTACAATTACCTGCTTCTGCCACTAATAGGCTTAAATCCTTTCCTAACTAGAGATAATTTTGGTGATTGGTCCATAAACTTGTTTTCTGGCCAGGTTGCTTTCACAACAATTTTAAAATGATTATGATATGGAGCTCAAGTTGACATTTCTTGCTAAGTAATGAGATAGTTTTTAGGTCACAGATTTTAAGGTCACAGGTAGCCCTCTGTATTTTGACTATCAATTAACAAGTAGCTCACCATTTTGAATTCAGGCATCATGACTTATAAAACCAGTTCATGGTTTAGAGCTTAGGACATGCGGTACAATTTATAGTTATTAAAAGCATGTTAACCAACTATGGTTTAATATAATATATGAAGAAAATGACATACATTGCAAACTTAGTCACAAACATACTACAGTAGTGTGGGTCACATATTGTGCTAGTTACAAAGCATAGTCTATAAAGTACAAAAGGTAACTTTGTACTATATACTAAGCAAGATCCAAAATGTTTTCTTTGGATCTTGCTTAATATATAGTACAAAGCTACATTTTGTACTTTACAGACTATGCTTTGCAACTTGCACAATAAGTGACCCACACTACTACAGTATGTTTACAAACAATGGTTAATGTAAACCATAAATTAGCATTGTGCGATCAAGCTATAATGAAGGAAACATCAGTTTCTAACTAACAAAGAAAACAGCTTATATGTAACAGGCAATTTTGAAATTTGGAATAATAAATCTCAGATTTGGAACATTAAACTCAATTGACCAAAGGGTGGGTGGGTGGAGAAGGATTACCCAGAGTTGGTGGAAAAATCCATAGTAGCCCGATTCAAACATAATTCTTAAATGTTGGGTTTACCCATCATGTAATCAGAGCAAAGCATATTATTATATTATTCATGTGATGTGTGAATGCAAACTAGAACACTTACCGAAGTATACTGTAACTTTTTCCACAGCCAATACTTAGGTTAGTGTATGTATTTGTACTAATACAATGTATATTAATGTAAATATTATGATTGAAGATTTTAAGGTCACAGGTAGCCCTCTGTATTTTGACTATCAATTAACAATTATTCTGCATATTTTTCCTTTATGAACAACAACAAAAAATCCATTCCAGGTATTAGAAATTCCTGCATTTGTAGCCTACAGAGTATTCCAGTGTTCAGGGAGAAAGGTGAGTCAAGGACATAACTCAGTCAGAAGAAATTTTTAGATTTTAAAGGTACACCTTGAGCTTTAACAAGCCATAGACAGACTGGTTCTTTTTATATACCCTTTTTTCAGCTGCCTTTGGTTAAGAATTAGTCAATCTTGGAATAAGCAGGATTTACACCTTTAACCAATACTACAATTTTTCAGACATCATGGTAATTTTTATTAGATTGCATTTTACAGTTTTAATGTAGTTGGTCTGCCTTAACAAATCCAATAAATAAAAACAAACAATATTGGGCTGAAGAAAGATTTTTACTAACTTGTTTCCCTTGCAAGTATCTACAAAGTCCCTTCCAACTCCGATTATCTATAAAGAATATTATATTGATGGTATATAGAAAGTAGAACTTTTGATTACTATCAGCTAAAGAGAGAAACAATCATCACTTCACTAAGGGCAGCACTAGAAGCAATAGGTCAACAACTTTGCACCCTATTAAGTCTACATAACAGATACTACAGACATTTCTCAGGCAATCTTTCTCAGTAGAATATCCTTGTACAATATCCTTGCAATTGTATTGGGGCAAGTCTTCCTATGTATCACAGCCAGCATACTTGGTAATATAGAAGACAATGCCAACACATCTGGAAAGCAATAAGTTGGGGAAAGTTGCCCTAATGTCCAGATTACTTGAGATTCTAATGAATTCTGGGGAAAAAATGCTGAAAGACATCCAGATAAGTTGCCTTTCATAAAATTAAGTAACCGCTTGTCCCAACAGATTCAAGCTCTTAAAGACTCAAAACACTATATGGACATTTGCAGCATATTGACCACCGAATAGTTTAATACTGAGAAAATGAACTGCATCTAGTGTTCTCAAACTGCTAAACAAAGGCAAGATCAACTGTGTACACAATATGGAAAGAGTGGCAAACCCATTATTACTGCCTCCACCTAAAGTTTTTCAGTATAAAAATGTCTAGGAAATTAAAAGAGTTGACAGGAAAAAAAATGTCTAGTTCCTTACAACATAAAAACCAGAAAAGTAATGTTGTAGGCCAGAAATACGACCCACACAGAGAGTAAGATATATCTGCCTACAAACTGAGCTTCCGGGCCCCTTGCTGTTTAATCTGCTGAACTCCTATTACTTACCTATTTGTTTATTCAAAGCATCTGAACAGCAAAAGAACACCAATAGGCAGTTCGTTGCAGACAACTAGGTCCGTTCAACAAACTACTTTCTTTTAACAGTCTCCTACAAAGCCCCCCTCTCCGCCCCGAATTAAAACATTCAAGCCTTTAACAGTTGCTCAGCTCTTTCTTCTCCCATCCAAAGGACGGGAGGGATAAAAGGAAGGAGAGTGCTAGGCATTTCACAATTAATTAATGTAACTATTGCAGAGACGGATAGTAACTACGGGAGAACAGCTTCCCATTCCTTAGAACGGATATACGGTATCATACACATCATACGCATAGAGGCACCTTAATCCTAGTGAGACGAATTACATTTTTGCAAAAGCAAGATCAGTGAAATAAAATGTGCGTCACAAATGCCAGCAAGATAAGCTAAACATAATTTCTTTCCAGCTACCTCGGCTTCTCAACGGCAGCGGCCGCTCCCCAAACCTCTTAGCTGCGCACACCTGCTGCTTCTGCTGCGGCAATTGGTACCTCCGGCGCCAAGAAAAGGAGAGAGATAACCACGCCCACCTGGAATCTGAGCCGCCTATGCTCGCCTTTTGGCCCCGCCCCGTCATTTTCTAAACCCGAACGCTTTTCATTCTTTGGCGCATGCTCGACTTGTGGCTTTTTTCTCTCACTCTAATGCGTGCTATTTCAATAAAAGAGAAAGCAACAAAAAGATGCAGTATTCCCATCTTTGAATGGGGATCAGCATAATTTTAGCGAACACTAATTTATCGTGAGAAATATATGGTGGGAGCGTTTCTTGCTCAAATGAGCAATGGCTTTTCCAATATGGGCTACAGTTTATTTTTCCCCTCATGCAATGTCACAGCACACGGAATTAAACTAGCCAAGCCAACCACACCTTAATCTACCAAACCCAGCCAATGTAGTTAGTTTATGGCTCAGTAGATGAGTGATTGAGTAAACTATGGACAAGTTAGCCATAAATGAGCATGTGATAACAAGCACAGCTAGTAGGTATTCTTGGAGATGGTCTCAAATCTGCACTAAAAATGCAAATAATTCAACTCTTCACATTTTCATAAGTACAGTTTTCCATGCAACCTATTGTCCATAAGTTGGGAACAAATATATTTTACAGGACAATAAAAAAGAATGCATATTAAAAAGACTCTGAGTACTGAATTTTGTTATATGTGACTGTTGCTTTTCAATATTGGGAAGTCTAAAAATGAATTTCATTTGCCTTTTAGAATTCACATTTCACCAGAGCACAATGTAAAGGATTAGTTTTTGTCCATAAACTATTATAGTAATGCAGTATTTTTAGCAACAAATTACTGCTATAATCAAGTCCTCCCAGTGCTGGTCTTCCTCTTTCTTTCACCCTTCCTGGTAATATAAATATTTCAAGAAAAGTCTTCACATCATGTTTCCAAAATATACTGCAGTCCGAGTTTGGTTATTTGTGCCTTGAATGAGGATTGATTTGTTCTGATCCATTCTGTAAATTTTAATCAGCTAATCAGGATTTTCCAAAAACCTTCTCCAAGAGCAAAAATTTAAAAATTCTATAGTGTTTCTGTTTTGCTCCTTCAAAATCCAATTTTTGTTTTCATAGAGTGTTATGGGAAAGCTATTCCCTATATAATTCTGATTTTTATATAAACAACCATGGAAACTGAATACTGTGCCTTTTCCAAGGCTTTCACTGCTACTATTCCAAATGTTAGTCTGTGGTTTATTCTTGACTGCTAGGTTCTTTTTTACAGTTGATAGTGAATCCTAAAGGCAAATAGCTACCCACCAGTATTTTCATTGTCAGCTCTAATGCTGGTTTCTGTGCTTGTTGTTATTATCAGAGTAATGTCATCACATAGCATAGGTTATTGATATTTGTTCCTGCAGTTTTAAAATCACACTCATCTTCCTCTCATCCAACTCCTTGTTTTGTTGTTCATATATATAACGCTTTGTTTATATATAAGGGAGACTAGAAAGCCTTGTCTCATTCCTTTGCCAATTCGGAGCCAGTCTGTTTTGCTGTTTTGTCTGGACTATAGTTTCCTGACCTGTGTACGGGTTTTCCATGAGCCAATGAAATGTTCTAGGATTCTTATTTTTCTAAGTGCAGTTTTAATAAGGTTGATAAACTCAAAGGTCCTCCTATAATCAGTGAAGCACATGCTAATTTCTTTTTGACATTTTTGGCATTCTCAATTGTCCAGTATGCGTCAGCAATAATATATATTGTTCCCCAGCTCTAAGCCATCTTGAACATTGGCATCTATGTTGTTGGTTTGAGCTCTGATCTGGCATCTTTCTTTCTATGTAAGGTTTTAATTTTCCTGGGATAATGTGGTATGTAAAATTAAGAATATTGTATGACAGTTTATATTTTGTGTCAAATGTCCTTTCTGAATGTAGGCAATCATCTTCCAATCTTTTGGCCACTATGTTTTTTCTCCAGATTTGCTGGTATAGCTTGGCCAGAATATTTACTGATTTTTCTTCTGTTGCTTCTATTTTTCTGTAAATATTCTATCAGTTCCTCCAATCTTCTAACTTATTAATAACCAGAGTGCTGATATTCTAATAGTAGAATATTAGAATTCTAATACTCTTCTGAATTCAGCACATTTTCTAAGGCATTTCTGAAGATTCTTGTGAACATACAGGTGAAACTCAAAAAATTAGAATATCATGCAAAAGTTCATTTATTTCAGTAATGCAACTTAAAAGGTGAAACTGATATATGAGATAGACTCATTCCATGCAAAGCAAGATAGTTCAAGCCGTGATTTGTCATAATTGTGATGAGTATGGCTTACAGCTCATGAAAACCCCAAATCCACACTCTCAGAAAATTAGAATATTACATGCAATCAATAAAACAAGGATTGTACATAGAACAATATCGGACCTCTGAAAAGTATAAGCATGCATATGTACTCAGTACTTGGTTTGGGCCCCTTCTGCAGCAATTACTGCCTCAGTGCGGCATGGAATGGAAGCTATCAGCCTGTGGCACTGCTGAGGTATTATGGAAGGCCAGGATGCTTCAATAGTGGACTTCAGCTCTTCCGCATTGTTCGGTGTCATGTCTCTCATCTTTCTCTTGGCAATGCCCCAGGTCAGGTGAGTTTACTGGCCAATCAAGCACAGTAATCCCACGGTCATTGAACCAGATTTTGGTGCTTTTGGCAATGTGGGCAAGTGCCAAGTCCTGCTGGAAAATGAAGTCAGCATCCCCATAAAGCTTGTCTGTGGAAGGAAGCATGAAGTGCTCCAAAATCTCCTGGTAGACGGCTGTGTTGACCCTGGACTTAATGAAACACAGTGGGCCAACACCAGCAGATGACATGGCTCCCCAAATCAACACAGACTGTGGAAACTTCACTCTGGACTTCAAGCATTTTGCAGTGTGTGCCTCTCCATTCTTTTTCCAGACTCTGGGTCCTTGGTTTCCAAATGAGATGCAAAAGTTGCTCTCATCAGAAAAGAGGACTTTGGACCACTGTGCAACAGATCAGTTCTGTTTTTCTTTAGCCCAGGTAAGACACTTCTGATGTTGTTTGTTGTTCAGGAGTGGCTTGACAAGAGGAATACGACATTTGAAGCCCATGTCCAGGATCCATCTGTGTGTGGTGGCTCTTGATGTACTGACTCCAGCCCCAGTCCACTCCTTGTGAAAGTCCCCAACACTTTTGAATGGCCTTTTCCTGACAATCCTCTCCAGGCTACGATCATCCCTGCTGCTTGTGCACCTTTTTCTTCCACACTTTTCCCTTCCACATAACTTTCTATTAATGCGCTTTGATACAGCACTTTGGGAACATCCAACTTCATTTGCAATTACTTTTTGAGGCTTTCCCTCCTTGTGGAGGGTGTCAGTGATGGTTTTCTGCACAACTGTCAGGTCAGCAGTCTTTCCCATGATTGTGATTCTTACTGAACCTGACTGAGAAACCACTTAAAGACTCAGGAACACTTTGCAGGTGTTATGGCTTAATTAGCTGATTAGAGTGGGACACTTTGAGCCTAGAATATTGAACCTTTTCACAATATTCTAATTTTCTGAGATTGTGGATTTGGGGTTTTCATGAGCTGTAAGCCATAATCATCACAATTATGACAAATCACGGCTTGAACTATCTTGCTTTGCATGTAATGAATCTATCTCATATATTAGTTTCACCTTTTAAGTTGCATTACTGAAATAAATGAACTTTTGCACGATATCCTAATTTTTCAAGTTTCACCTGCAGAATATTTTTTTATTTTGGAATTTGACATTTCTTCTGTAAAAAAATTCAGGGTACTACTTCTATTTTGTTTTTAATTTTCTTTGAATCAGTTACTATCTTATATCAGACACACCAATGCAAGATTCAATATCATTGCAATGCTGTTTCTTGTCTCTTCTGATAGCTCTTTAAAATTCTTTGTTAATTCTTGATATGTTTGTCCTTTTTTTTTTTCCTTTGGTCTCTCTTTCCTTTGCAATTTTCACATTTATTTTGACCTCTAGTTTGCTTTATTTGCTTTCCTCTGATTCTTGGTCACTGGTAGTCTCTTTTCACACTCAACCTTTTGGTCCCTATAAATGAGTTTCAGGACTTCAAAGTGATCTCTGATGTTATCCTTGAAAAGGGATATAAACTCTGATGGATTTTAATTAAAGAGCTGGTTTAAAAATTTAAAGAGCTGATATATATGTTAAAAAGTAATGGTGCTAGAATACAGTTTTATTTCACCCCCTTGATAGTCTGAATATAGTGGGAAAGGTTCCCTTCTGATTACATCTTATTCCAGTTTTATCATATTGTTTATGAATCAGAAATAAGGATGGAGAGGTGGTTAGCTTGGGGTGCTGTCTCTGGATAATTCTTTAGAAGGGGCAACAATTGGGTGGACAAGTTGGTTGGATTGAGGGAGAAGGCAGAAAACAGATCTCCTGCTGCCACTTAGGGTGGCTAATCCGGAGTCTAGGGTCCTTCCATAGGAGACATTTCATAGGCAGGGCAAATAAAGCCAGATTGGTGATCAGAATCAGAGAGCTGGCCACTCCTATGGAAAGAATTCAATTGCAAGTTGCAAGGAGGAAAAACGTTGTAAATAAAGTTGTAGATGAAGCAGCATTGTGTTTATAGAACCAGGAGGAAGCCAGTGGGAGTGGGGCTGTAGTTTGAGTAGTCTGATCTTTAGAGTTCAGTTGTGTGTGATTATCACCTATATAATGAACATCTGGAAAATTATAAAGGGATTGTGTTACATTGATATATTGTACTTGACAGCCCCTCATTTCATTGGTGATTCAGGCTAATTCTGCTGACTGCCAACTGCCAGCAATTTGGCAGTTCAAATTTCACCGGCTCAGGGTTGAGTCAACCTTCCGTCCTTCCGAGGTCAGGAAAATGAAGACCCAGATTATTGAAAGCAATATGCTGACTTTGTAATTTGCTTAGATAAGGCTGTAAAAGCAATATGAACTGGTATATAAGTCTAAGTGCTATTGCTAT